CGGGTCAGCGATGCTGTGGTCGGGGTTGCAGGTGAAGGCGATGGTGACGGCGTAGCGGGTGCCCCAGTGCACCCTCTCCACGCGGTGCAGGTTCTCGGACCCCGAGGTGAAGAAGGACACGCGGCCTGGGGAGGAGGAGAGAGATGTGACCCCGGCCACGTGTGGCCTCTGCAACCTGCATCCTACCAAACCGGTACCAGGACCCAGGCGGCGGGGGGAGGCCCACAGCAACCCGGACTGCCTGCCCCAGGACTGCCTGCCCCCAGACTGCCCACGAACTGCCTGCCCACGGGACTGCCTGCCCACAGACTGCCTGCCCCCGGGACTGCCTGCCCACAGGACAGCCCACGTGGGAGCAGAGCGAGAGGGAGGGAACCCGCAGCATCTGGGGGAGTGGTGGGCGGGCCCTCGGGGCAGGGCGAGGGCACCCCAGGCCCGTTGTCCAGGCACCAGGAGATGTGGTGGGTGTGTGTGTGCGCCCTGGGGCCATGCTGGGGGGTCTGTGATGACACTGTGGCTTACAGTGGGGCCTCACGATACAGAAGTTCTACTCAAGCATTTATTGGGCTTAAAACGCCCTCCGGGAGCCCCAGGGGGCACCGCACGCCCCCCCCCCCAGGACCTGGCTCTCCTTCCCCACAGGTCCCAGAGGGAGGGGATGAGCCGTGTGCTCAATGCAAGGTCGATGGCAGCGCCGTGTCCCACTGTGGGGGCAGCAGGGCCCCGAGCTCATTGTTAGCTGCTGGGTCCCGCTGGGGAGGGTCGGGGCGGAGCACAGGGCAGGTGCAGGGGGGCCGGGCAGGCGTGGGAGCCACTCGGCCGGGAGCAGAGCCCAAGGACACGCTGCCTCACCCTCTGACAGATGGGTCCCCCGGGGGTCTCAGCCCAGCGGGCACAGATCCAGGCAAAGCTGGGCACACAGCAGGCGCTCCATAAACGCGGCGCCCGCCCCAGAAACCCCCCACCCAGGGCCGCCTGCAGGTCCCACCTGCTCTGGGCTCCACCGTCTTGTTGGCCCCCTCCTCCATGAACACGAACCGGCCCCCGCCGAAGTCGTCCAGGTAGTCGGAGAGGTACAGCAGCGAGGTGTAGTCGAAGGAGCCATAGGTCACCTGCGAGCCAGGGGGAGCGGCACCGCTGAGCTGAGCCGGCACTGGCTCTTCCCGTGTGGGCCTCAGGCACGAGGCTCTCCCGCCGCCTCGCCTCAAGGGCGCTTTCCTGCACCCACGTCCGGCCCCCCCTGGGATCCCGCACAGTCACGTCCAGGCCCGTGCTCCCCGGGAGTAGCAGGTGCGGGACCCACGGCCAACGCATAGACGCGCAGGGCGAGGGCGGCAACAAGAGCTCCTGCGCTTTCTCCGGGGGGAGGAGCAAAGCTTTTTAAAAACCAGGGTCGCCCGGCCGGCGTGGCTCAGTGGTTGAGCGTCAACCTATGAGCCAGGAGGTGACGGTTTGATCCCCAGTCAGGGCACAGGCCCGGGTTTCGGGCTCCATCCCCAGGGTGGGGCGTGCAGGAGGCAGCTGATCCGTGATTCTCTCTCATCATTGATGTTTCTCTCTCTCCCTCTCCCTTCCTCTCTGAAACTGATAAAAAAAATACACACACATAAAAACAACAACGAGGTAACATGCATCCCATAGAGAACACGCTTGGACGCCCGGGCAGAGCCGAGCTGGGGTGGCCGTGGACAAGCGCCTGGTGCGTGCCC